TTGAACAGGTGGACTTACTGATTTTATTACATTTGATGATTATTTCGCTTGAATTGTAAAGGGTTGCGATGTAAACGGAGCTTCTTGGAACATTTACCGTTATATGGTAAAGCACTGTAGTAAATTTTAAAGTCTTCTTTTTCATTATATAATTATTGTTTGGATACAGAAAGTTTCAGAAACTCTTTCCGAATAGACCAATATTTAAAATGGACTTTGAGGGTGGTCATTGGCTGTATATTATTCCGTTAAATAAATGAGCTTCACGACATGACATTGACATGCAAGCACAGTTACTTAGGGACTTCATTTAATATAACAAATACTTTTTTCTTGTAGATCAAATAAAAATATTAATTTAGAAAGTTGACAATATATAAGTTTAATCATTGTTAATTTACAATGAAATATAGAAAAAAATTACCTCTAAACTGGGTATTACAGCTGTTAAATTGTACGTACCTGTAATTAAACATTAATAACTTACTTAATATTATAAAGACTTTAGGCATTAATGTTACAAATAACAAAAGCTCAGATATAACAAAAGCTTCGAATAATCAAAGCTTATTGTGACTTTATTCATACACTTCGCCATACACTATGCCGTTTAAAAATCAAACTTGAGGTTTTACGCCTGACTAAAGACCAAATATGCAATAATGAATATATTGGGACATTAATACACAGCACCATCTAGTTCCATGGTAAGATACAAGGCCTGTGTTATGACCAGATAGTTGATACACTACATATATAATATAACGTTAAATATGTACATATTATAAATATAAACACCCATGACTGGAGTACAAACATTCGTGTAATAATAGTTTTTTTTATATCAAATATTTTCATTTCTCCTTCACCTCTTCCTCAGTGATTATTAACTTCAAACATTTTTAAAATATATAATTGTACCTCGCTGACATTATTTTTCATCTAAATATAATTCCACAGTTGTCTTTTTTTTTGCTCCCTACTTATTTTTATCCGATTAACAAAAGGATGGTTATGCTTTAAGCAATGTAAAAAATTAAATGTATTATAGATAAAATAATATAGGCTGGATGCCTAGCGCGAAGATTAACTGCTAATAAATATCATCACATAATACTTTTTTAGATTTATGGGAATATTATTTTAGTAAAACAATTATCTCGGAATTCTTCGCGGACGATCCGTCCGAATAACGTATCTCCCGTGACCATGATTGCTGTAAAGCATGCAAAACGTCGGGAACTAAAAATCTAAATAAATCCGCGAAAAAATCCAAAATGATAGTTTTATATAAAACGCCATCACACCAGACACCCTTATTATGAACATAATAGAATTGGCCCTATGCTTATGAAGACATGAATTCAATTTAGGCGGGCCGCATATAATAAGATTTTTCTGTCAGAAAATTTCTGACGCCCGCCTTCTTCTTATACCTAATAATAAAAAAATTTAAAAGCTTATAATATGCTTAAGCATCAATTAATACTTTAAAGTGACGTCTCTATATTTTAGGCCCGGATTCTGTATTAAATCTTAAATAATACTTTCTTAGATTTACACGATTTGACGTATTAAAAAAGTTTTTATGGATTTTTTGCCTTTTGAATTTTCTAATCTTAATAGATCAAATACGGTAATTCAAGATTTACGTACGGCTTAAATAAATAAATGACTGTATACACTCATTACGTTCTGCCGTCTAATTTAACCATTATTCCATGTAAGTCAGGGTTAGGTGACAAATGCTTGCTGAGGAAGACCGCGCCGCCTCGTAACGAAAAGTAATCCGCGCCCCGCGTGTCCCGCGTGTACTGTACACACGCCGAAGTTTGTTTCCATTGTTATTTTATTAACAAAAAACGACTTTTTTTAGAAGAAATAATAAGTATTGTGGAGTATTTATTTGTATTTTCATTTATTATCAATTTTTGACGTTTTTTTATCTAAGGGATCGATAGTCTTCAAAAGGTGGTATGTTAGAAACCGTAAAGCTAACTGGTAAAAATTTTGGCAGCATGTTATGTATATTATATATAATTGTTGATTTTATCTTATCTTTTAGTAATCAATATGTTATACATATATCCTAAAAGCCGATTTCAAGAAAAATGTTACTTACCTCTAAAGACGATAATTAGTAAAATATTGTGTATTTTATTGGTTAAAGAGTAATTTTACTGTTTTAACGTTAAAATATATAACATACTAGCGACTCACCCTCGCTTTTGTCGGGTTCGTCCTAGGGTATGTGTACAACTTCCCTATTTGAATCGGATATTATTAAATTTTTCATTGGTTTTTTTTTTTTTTCGTGGGACCTTTTTTTTCTAAAATAAAAGTAGCCTAAGTTACTCCTTATGACATAAGCTATCTGCCAGTGAAAGTCCTATCAAAATTGGTCCAGCCATTTCAGAGATTAGCCGGAACAAACAGACAGACAAAAATTGTAAAAAAAAATGTTTTTGTATATGTACCGTGTATACATCCATATGAATTTAGTAAAAAGCTGTTATTTTGATATTGCAAACAGACACTTCAATTTTATTTACCTGTTTAGATAAAATCATTTTTGAATATACGAGTATAATGAATATACATATTATTTTACATAAAACAGAAATTAAATTAAGTATGTACTATCTAAATGGTAATTATAATTCAGTACTCTGGATATGAATTTGCTCGCACGAGTGTTTTGAAAACCAAATCACACCAGTAGCATAATATTACAAATGTGACCGCGCACTCGCGAGTGCCCTATTTGACTTAATGCCGCTCTAAACACATTGTCGTGTTCCTCCACATCCAATTACTGCACAAAGCTTTCTTTTGATGTTAACGTGCTAATTGGTCGTTTTCGTCACATTCTGTAATAAATAAAGCAGTAGAGTGGGTAGAAATTTGAAAACTAGTAACACTGTCGCGTCGTGTTGTGTTTAGTCTGATTTTTAATTCCACGGAAATATGACAGCTATCATTCTTTGACAATTCAGATATCATAACCCTTTTCTGCTTTGTATTTTTTTAATATAAAATAACAAAAAATATGAAAAAGAATTAGATCAAGTAAACTATATGTATAACATTGTAAATAGTCTTTGTTTTGTACATTCAATGCACACTAACTATAATGTACATTTTTTTAATGGTTAAATGAAAAAAACAGAGTAAAACAAAATATAAGAAATGAAAATATTTACTAATCATTATTACTTATATCATCCTTGTCGTCTTCGTCCACTCGGATTATAAAAGAATTACTCACACTATCCATCAGATCATTAAGAGGGCACATTTTATCCTTTTTTTTTATAATATGGTTTATGCATTCTTGCCAAAAACAACAATAAAAAATCGTGAACGACCGTTGTGGACCTGTCTTTTTGGGACTTTCCAATTCTTTTTGCCAATTGCAAAGATTTTTTATATACTTATATCTTTAAATACTGATATCTAGGGATTCCTGTAATAGAAAAATATTTTTTTTAATAATTATTCTAACTTCGATAATATGATAATAAAAAAAATATTGCCATTTTAGAGTTATCAATAATTTTTTAAGTCTTAGTTTTTCTAATTGAAACCTCAAATTCAAAAAAGGTTTATTTTTTTATTTTGCTAAAATGCTTTCCGTTTTCAGTGACAATGTTTCAAAGCTGACAACATTTCTGAAATGTCAGAATTCAGCCGAATTGAAAATCAGACTATAGTAACTTTTGACATATAATGTCACCATTCTAAATAAATGTATATTAGTTTATCAAAAAATACGTAGGTAATTACGTGTAACCAAACGAAAATTCCGAAATAGATTAAGCAAATCTATTGAAAATAATTTCATAAAAATATTTATTAGATGTAATTTTTATAAACTATAACCTTTGTAACTCCCTTTCACTTCTCTTTAAGAAAAAAATATAGTAATCTAGCTGCTACAAATGCCTCTGCCGTAGAAATACGTTACTAAAATTTTAGCCCGCTGATGATCTGGGCGATGTAGAATGAGAGACGATAAGTAGTTTATTTACATGTATAAATTTAGATGTTGAGAACTTGGGACATTAAAACACAGCACCATATAGTTCCATGTTAAGCTACGAGGCTTGTGTTATGGATACCAGATAGTTGATACATATATATATATATATATATATATAAAATTTAAATACATACATATTATAAATATAAACATCTATGACTGAAGTACAAACATTCGTGCTGATCATAGAAATGAATGGGTCCAGCGGGATTCGAACCCGCGACCGCTGGCACAGCAAGTAGGGTCACTACACTCTAACGTGTCCTCAAACGTGTCACATTGCGTGGGGTACATTCATTCTGTCAATTATATTTTAATCACAAGAGGTTCGCTTAATAATCTCGACATAGTCCCTTACAATTAACAAGGCTACTACATTAGCAGCGCATGATCTACAATTAGATTCTTCCGCCGAAGAAGACTAATTGTTCATTCTAAGCCATAGACGAGGCGTTATTAAATATTAGAGATGCGCAAAAATATATTCGTATTCTATAAAAATATTTCGTTTTAAGCGCTTATCCTCACTGAACGGAACGTACTTAATAACATACATAGAAGTACCCGCGGCTTCGACGGGTTCAAATTTCCGATCGCTGTAAAATTTTACAGGATCACCCGCTGGGCTATTTTGATGACTGTCTCAAAATTTCATCAAAATCGCTCTAGCCGCTTTGGAGTCTATAGGGAACATACATACACATTTAGATTTTTATATACATATATCAGTATATAAAGATATAAGTATAGATAGATAGATTTTTCATTTTATAAAAATGTATTTAAAAAAAAATTAAGACTTTCATGGTATCCTTAATAAACACAAAATAATAGAATAAGGCTGTTATTTTAAATATACAAAACCAGAGTCATTCATTTTTATTCAATCTTGCTATAAAAATCAGGGAACAAGCACTATATAAAAGTTGCTTGTTGAAAGGAAGTAGTAAAGAAAAAGATGGCCTTACAAAAATGGCGTCTACTGACTGCGCTCGTATGTGTCTTGGTACAGGCCCACAGAGCGTCTTCGTCTCAGGAAGTCATGCACAAGCTGACGAAAGGATTCGCTAAAGCTTTTGACGAATGCAAACAAGAAGTAAGTTGTACATAGTCTTCAGTTTTACGAAAAATTTAATGTGTGTACGTTTATTAGACTTTTATACAAAATGACTGAACAAATTTAGGTGAAAATTTGGGTCTGGAGTAACACATAAGCTACTGTTGGACACCTAGGGATGCATCTTCCTGAACATATTCGGTGTCGGTCATCAACTTCTCTGAAACTACAAGAGTGAGTGCAAAAGCGAAGTACTAAAGAATTTGTGGTTTAATTTTTAGCTAAACCTGAGTGACAACATAGTACAAGACTTTATGAACTACTGGAAGGAAGAGTACGAGCTTTTGAACAGGGATACCGGCTGCGCCATCATGTGCATGGCGTCGAAGCACGACCTCATCACCGAAGATATGAAGCTACACCATGAAAATGCCCATGGTTTCGCGAAGACTCACGGTGCAGGTATATAATTAAATTATAGGGTGGTCAATATTACATTATTACATATATTACAATTCAATTTTAGATTTTACAAAATGAAAGGTGAGTAGGTATTATATCTTGCTAATATTCCGTCTAACATAGCGATTGAATTAAATAAGTTATCTATGTCTACACGATTAACAATTGCTTAACAAAACTCTAACACTGACTGACTGATAGAGAGCAATCTTAAAATAAGATTTTAATTTATCGTTTATCGTTTAATTAGAAGTATATTTACAAAAAGAAACTTATGGCGACTAACTAAATTTCCAATCCCTACCAATCTATTTATTTTTGAGTCGGTAATTTATGTGTCTTTTATATAACTTTACTATTACTATTAATATTTTTTTAGTAAAACCTTTAAATTGCTTGTCGCGGGTTCGAGTCCCGCTGGGAGTTTTATTTATGAAAAATGTTTGTATTGTTTCTAGACATGGGTGTTTATATCTATAATATGTATGTATTTAAAGTTATATATGTGTAGTATATCAACTATCTGGTATCCATAACACAAGCCGTGTAGCTTACCATGGAACAATATGGTGCTGTGTGTTAATGTCTTAACATATTTATATTTATTTATTTTGTTTATAATTAATTTCATTTTGATATAGATGATGACTTAGCCAAACAACTGGTGACAATGATCCACGAGTGCGAGGGTACTCACGCCGGCATCGCAGACGACTGCATGAAGACGCTGGAAGTCGCTAAATGCTTCCGAGTTAAAATCCATAAACTCAAATGGGCTCCCGACATGGAAACAATCCTTGAAGAGCTAATGTCTGATGTATAAAATACTATTAAAAAACTAGGAACTTTTAGTTTTAACCATGTAAATAATCATTCAATAAGGAATTATACCAGTTATATTATAATTTTAATTAATTTCTTGCACTAAAGTGGCACATTTGATAGTCACTAATTTGTAAATTTCAAGGAAAACAAGAAAAATTAAAAAAAGAATAGTTTTTGTTAGTGTGTGGCTCCAAGGACTTTGAATAAGTCGTCAGTCCACCTTATGGAAGGCCTGTTCACGCTTTTTGTCAACAATAACATCTAAATGTTCCTAGTTGAAGAAAATCTTTAAAAATAACGAATTCAGCTGCGTTCCAAAACACTTCCTTCATTGCGCTTCTCCCAATAGCTCGTCAGCCTATCCTTAAGATGATTATTATAACTGTTTATAAGCTATGTGGTGTGGTCTGTAATTATAAGGTATAAATAAAACATTTACAATTGGATTATATTTTTTCAATTAATTTTTGTGATAATTATCTCGATTGTAAAATAAAATTGATATTCAATTTAAATCTTTGATAGAAAATGTTTATCGGGATATTGAAATATTGTTATTTATAGGTTTCGTTGAAAGAAATTAAATCTGCTGAAATTGGAAGGTTTTATAGATAGCGATTGAAGAGTTTCATTATCCATCTCCTGGAATTATGTGGAGATTAGCTCAATCATATCAAATTTTAATATGAGAATATAATGTAAATTTCATATATAGTTTCATATGAATATGTCAATGAGAAGTGAGTTAAAATTGTTTTCCAAGTTTTGACGACACGCTTGGCTCAGTTTGTAGTGTGTTTGTACTTGCTGTGCCAGCGGTCGTGGGTTCGAGTCCCGCTGGAGGCATGCATTTGTGTAATGGGCACGAATGTTTGTACTCCAGCCATGGTTATTTATATTTATAATATTTATGTATTTAAAGTTATATGTGTAAAATGTGCAGCGTATCAACTATCTGGTATCCATAACACAAGCCTCGTAGCTTGAGATGGAATTAGATGGTGCTGAGTGTTAATGTCCCAACATATTTATATTTATGTTTTAAAATTACATACCTAGGTAGTTACAAGTGAAAGTGACATGTAGCGTTTTAAATATACTTCTACGAGTATTAGGTACTACAGAGTTCAAAACAAAGTCGCTGTTAACCTCTGTCTGTTTCTTACCTTATTCTTTAGAAGAAACTATCCAACGGATTTTCATATGGTTTTCACTAATAGAAAGAATAATAAATGTTATATGATTTGTAAATATTTTGTACAAAATGTAAAAAACTAATCTGCTAAGCTTACAATTTTATCTCCTAAGGTACACTTGTCTATTACAGATTAGTAAAAAATAGTTCGCTAGTAATATATAAATAGCAAAATCACTGCATATAAAGAAAACTAATAAGAGTAAAAACACATCTGAAGGGATAAAGGAAGTTTCCACGTGTAAGGGTTCCGCGCACCAGTCACGTAACGCCGGGACGGATAATACGAGCAAACAAGGCGCAGGTGTGCACGGAGAGAGCAATCTATTGTCGGATGCTTCAATAGCTTGTGCAATTTTCGTATTTACCTCTTCAGATACATGTAAGATACGTGTACACAAAAGTGTCTTCGCAATTTGAAATGTGTAGGAGTTTATTTTAGAGTTTCGACGACACGCTTGGCTCAGTTTATAGTGACCCTACTTGCTGCGTCAGCGGTTGCGGGTTCGAGTCCTGCTGGGGGCGTTCATTTGTGTGATGAGCACGAATGTTTGTACTCCAGTCATTTATAATATGTGTGTATTTAAAGTTATATATGTATAATGAATCAACTGTCTGGTATCCATAACACAAGCCTCGTAGCTTACCATGGAACTAGATGGTGTAGTGACTTGTGTGTTAATGTCCTGACATATTTATTTATTTATTTATATTTTAGTTATTGGAGTTAGAACGGAAATAATAAATACTTCTGTGCTAACATTGATATGGGTGCTTGTGTAAAATTAATAAAAGAAAATAATGTTACTAAAGCATATATTCAAATTTATATAATATCCCAAAGTAAATTGTAATAATGAGTTCTTAAATGTCAATGATTTTATTGTCTTCTATACTTATGATTTAGAAAAAATGAACCACTTGATAAAATAATTGCACTCCATATTCATAGATGTAATGTTTGTATTTTATGATAATAGTGATGGGATTAATTCGTTTTGTTCTTGCAATTTGCTATATTTAAAATATATTTTAGTGCACATATATTCATAAAATAAAATTGTTTATCAGCTTTGGGGAAGCTCCATGTGTATATTTAGCAAAACAAAATGACCCAAAGAAAAGACTAAAGTAAAATCATATAATTTCTTAGGAACGGGATATCTGTACAGGTATAGTATTAGATATACATAATAGTTATGTATGTATCAATAGTGGGACTTACATACAACGTTACAATACAAGATTATGCGTATGTAATCTAGGATGACTTTCGAATGTGAACATTATCAGGGGCTTTTTTGTAAAATAACTTTTTGTTGTTGTGTTGTTATCAGAATGAATTTTTAATCATTTCTTGTAAGTAAAAAAAACCAAGTACTGTCTCCTATACAATCAGAAACGTACTCAAAATTATCAAATTTTATTAAGAAAGATTTAGTTTACACGGTAAAGATTTTTATGTTTATGTATAAGATTAAGATATTTATATTAATATTAGCAGAATCATCAAATTAAATTCCACCCAGCTATGTGAGAACTTAATTTCTAACAACGAAGTCAAAGAGGAACAGATTAGATCTAGAGGACATCGGTCTATCCGCCGTTACATCGGACCACATCGGACCCTTCTATTTATGCACAATGTAGTTAGAGCAGACACGTAAGTCACTGTTGACGCGTAATCCGCAATAAATCCTACGGGACAAAGCTGACTTCGATCCCAGCTAATTTACGAGCGACATCAAACCTCAATTAAGAAACACAGCTCTTAACTAGGTTTCCCGATTGTCCTGTCTTGTTCTAGGGTTAATGAATGTTCAACAATACTAAATAATACAAGACGTTGGCTGTGGATTTGCTTCTATAAATAGAAAATATAGTATATAGTATTTTGACTAGTTATATCTTACAATTTCATCAAATTAAATTACACTTTATTTAAATAGACATTTACAAGCACTTTTGAATTGTAAATTTTAAATTTGAACTAAATATGAGTGTAGTCACTAGTCAGTCCGTAAGGAATTGACATCTACAAAGTATTCCGTAACGGTTTTACAAGTTTTATTCAATAATATATTTTAATTTTAGAGTTAAATTGTTAAAATGGCAAACTCAAAATCGACTGTGGAATTATATTATGCATGTCATGTTATTTTGTCTTTAGCCAAGAATTATCATCCCTACTTCATAAGGGTCTTGCAGAGCAGCAATCGCAAACTGGCAAAACATTTTTTAGGTTTGGTTATAGAATAAAAACTCATATTAAAATTAAACTATGGGATTCTTATGTTCTTCATCTCTGACATCCCATACATAAGAGGTATATAAAAAAATACAACCTTGTTCTTATTTTATAAAAAATATTGTAGATAGAACATTAAAAGTATTTATATATTTTTATTTTCTCATCGTAATATTTAACAAACAAACGTACATGGCATTATATACCATCCACGTATACAACATTTATGTACATATTTATGTAATTTTTATTATTTTTATACTCGATTACTGAAAATATTCACAACCTTAGTATATTTTCTTAAAAAATACCTTATCAGCTTAAATTTTAAGAAGAATATATTATGGTATTTGTGATTGTGGGTGATTATTTTTGATCTCTATATAATAAATATACACATAATAAATTCGTAATTAAGCCCCAACTTTATTTAATATCATCTATATAAGCATTGCACTAATTAAATTATATACAATTTAAAACCATAATTGATAATAAAAAATCAATTACGTAAAAGTTATATTTAGTTTACATAAATTCTAAAAAGAGAGCTTAGAGAAGACGATATCCTACAATTGTCAGATAATAGAAAACCAAAAAATACCATGCCATTCGGCAACAACATATCTAAGCGTTAAGTCACGTGGTCAGAATATATCAATTCCATATATTTTTGATTTTTTTTATTACTATTGCGGTGGAAATAGTGGGTGGGTATAAAGGGGGTGACTCGCTTATACTTCTGTTAGTATTTCGGTGATGACCACATCTACTTTAGGTGCCCAGTTGATCTCGTGCATAGCTGTCTTGAAGCATTTAGCGACTTCTAAAGCTCTGAGACACTTGTCCTCTTCAGATAGATGTTGCTCCTCACAAGCGTGGACCGTTGACACTAACTTTGCCGCCATATCATCCGCTACAATTGGTTCAAATAGAAAAGCGCTTATGATTTTTATTTAACAGATATCAAGATTTTATATGCTCAGGACACGCGGACTCGCATCTTTTATATATTTTTTACTAACTGACACTCTTTAATATTTTTGTTTCTATATATATACATTTATATAGAAACAAAAAAAAATATTTATTGATTTATTTATACCGCAATATAAGATTTTTGTTATAGCTACTATTTTTCTAAGTATTAACATAAAGTAACTGTTAAATATAAAATTCATTTGACACTAGCAACTTATCTTGGCTTCGACCGGGTACGCGGATTTTGTTCATAATTACATGGGGTTAATTTTTTTCACACGGAACCCTAATTCTTTTTCTCAAATAGAAGTAGCGCAAGTTACTCCTTATAATATCAGCCATCTGCCAGTAAAAGTCCCGTTAAAATCGGTCCAGCGTTTTGGAGATTAACCGGAGCAAACAAACAGAAAAAATTCTTAAAAATATTTTTTTTCTAAAAACTGTACCTATATACTTTCATAGGCATTAGTAAAAAACTGTTATTTTAACATTACAGAAATTTATTTATTTGTATAGATAAAATTCCTAGAATAATGTAAAGCGATCTATCCTACTATGTATGTACATATTAAATCGTAGGTAAAAACATTTATTTCATAAAATTTCCAAAAATACTATTCTGAGTTACAGCCTCACTTTATTATACTTTATATTTTTCATAATAAGCATTTAAAGAAATATTAATGAATATTGATTTTTTTGTCTATTTAGTGTATATTATTGTAGACATACCAGCGCCGTGCCGTAGTGCGAACTCATGCGCATTCCCGTGGTGAAGTTTGCCGGAATCATCGAGAAGGTTCAGCTTTTGGCTCATACAAACTATCGCGCAGCCTGTATCGCGGTGCATCAAAGCTCGGTCTTGCTTCCAGAAATAGTACATGTCGGCGAGGACATTGTCACCGATGGTAAGCTAAAATGTGCTTATTATGATTAAACATATTTTATAATACTTTCTTAGATTTACATGAATATTAAACTTTTAAGTTTTGTGGGTAGACACTGTCTGTAACAACTATACACAATCTTTTTTGATATTTTAAGGAATGAAAATGAATATAATTTAGATATTTATATAATGAAATAAAAAAAATTGTATATATGTAAGAATAGTCTCAAAATTAATCTCATAACTACGGCTTCTAAGCAGTTTTAAAGGTACTCCGTCTCTCGCCAATAATATATCCTCCAGACCAATTCCGGCCAAGGCGGCCAATCTCACTGAGACTAGCCAGATGTACAGGAGATATTATAGTGCAGCGCGTGTACGTGCACGTGCGCACTCTGTTCCTGTCTCTCTCATGCACTTTATATGACAACTGTCTAGTCTCTTAATAATCATCAAAAAAGATTTAGGCGTACTGTATTTAGAACTCGCGATTATAGAAAACTTTGTTATAATCGTTTTTTTTTTTAAGTTTTCATTTTTCCATTTTTAGTGTAGACATAATAAGCAGGTAATTTGTAAGAAGAAAGTTTTAAATTATTAACATATTTGATTCAACAATTTATTTAAAATAATAATTTATTGTTGATTTTTTTTAAAAACCGCTCGACCGATTACGATAAAACTTATATGGAACACCTGGGAAGTAAAAAAATTTGAAATAAAAAAATCCAAATCGGATCAGGCGTCTTCGAGTAATCGGTGAACATACATAGGAAAAAAAAGATTCCGACGAATTGAGAACCTTTTTGGAAGTCGGTTAAAAATATCCCTAATAAAGGTACACCCAAGTACATAATAGAATCAGGGCACTGCCATCTAACATCCCTCTAAAATATCTTAAACGGATTGAAACAAAAATCGTTAAAACTATATAACTCTGGCATAAATGCCTCAGGTCTGCTGATCTTCCTGCCCTCTGAATATTCTGCGGAATATAACAAGTGAGATATACGACGAGATGGATATTTTGAAACAAATATTTACCTCTTTCCTACATTCTTCCAATACTTTCAAGAAACTTCCCGTTATGCTTCTTAAAGTTTCAGTCGGGGCTACTCTGTTCACACCAACAATCAGTATGAGAGCAATAGCAAAATACTTAACCATTATAGAGTCTTCAGTAAAAATGATTGGCATAAAATTCTGCCTTTGTCTTATAAAGAATTGCCTATTGGCAGTTTTTGAAACAAAGATTTGGTATAATTAGCAAGTAGCACTTCAAGGTAGTCACTAATTACTAGTTTATTTAACGTATATTTATCCTAACTGGTAGTTAAAGCTCTAGATTAAACACTCAAGTACTCGTAGTAGTGAGTGACAAAGAGCGATCGCATATGAGCGTGCTTAGACTCGTTTTGTATATTTAATATCTGAAAATGAATATATCAACTCTGTTACTTCTTTAATAGATCAATTTTGTAATATAATTTCAAATTGATTATAAAAGAATAAACAAAACATTGATGTTGGCAAATACATTTAATTTTAAAGTCGGTAAAAAGCTTAATATTTACGAACGATTAACCAGTATTATTCAAAAGTGGCAAAGTATTAATAGCGAATACGGTAAGTTTCCTTTTTCTACGCTGGAAGATGTGTAACGTATACATAATATGCACATAGCATTATTCGAACTACCGACCAAACCTAACCGAACTGGTAGTAGACTCATGACGTTCAGTAAAAAATTGTAATAATTTAATGCTGAATAAAATATTTTGATTTGAAATTTTGATTTGATTTGACTTGATTCACAAATTATAATAATACTAGCATCTCACCCTCGCTTCGCTCGGATGCGCCCCAAATGAAAAACAAAAACTATCCCACGGGAACCTTACATTTCATAGGGATAAAGAGTAGCCTATGTGCTATTCTAGACTATAATCTATCTCTATCCCAATTTCATCCAGATCCATTCAGCTGTTCTGACGTGATTGAAAACTTCATAAAGATAGTCTAGTGTTGAAAACAATCAAAGTCTGTGTTGGACACACATATTTCACTGGTTTTGTGTGCGGGTTACGTTATCTTAACAATTATAAGAATTTAATGTTCTAAATTGTTAAAGGTATAAACATAGGTACATATAGCCAAAATCTCTCAGCGTAATGTTCTCATTAGTAATACAAATATATGCAACTGTGTATATTTCAATGTAGTTTTTGGTCGTGTCGTATTTAATTCCATCGCAATCGATTATTCGTCTCGCGGGAGTCGTGAAACCGATTTGTTTTGTTAATTACTCGCATCGCTCGGAGACGCGGAGTGCATTAGTCATTAGATAGGATGCATTTTTATTGCCAATTAAACGACTCGTGCTTTGCCCTTGCTTTCCTCAGGTATTTCACACCAACTTCGAAAATATTTGATTAGGTATGTAATATGTATAGTAAATGAAAACTACCAATCAGTTATTTTTTACTTTTTAGTGCTTTTGTTTGAAGTCGGTTTTTATTTTTTTGTTAAAAAGTGTTTAATTTTTCCCTTTTTAGTGTAGACAGTAGTAGCAAAGTAAGAATTCTAACGTGTTAGGCTTGTCAAATCAAACAAAATAAGCCCAAACTCAAAGTATCTACAATAGTAATAAGCCGTTGAAGAGTTCCACCTATCCACCTTCTGGCCTTACCATCAGATAATAGGTTAAATTCATCGTTAGCTATTTTTCCACCCTTAGGGGTGGTATTTTTTTTTGAAATTTAAATGGAACCAATCTGGAAGTATACACTTTCAAACAAAATAAAAATTGTCCAAATCGGCTAATAAATGACGGAGTTCTGAGGTAACAAACATAACAAAAAATACAGCCGAATTGAGAACCTCCTCCTTTTTGAGGAAGTCGGTTGAAAAAAAGGTATTTCTTGCAATAGAGTAGGTATAGACACGTAGAGCCCATGAGATTTGGGAATTTAATATTGCATGATAAAATGTAGGCTAGCTTTTAAAATATCGATAGTTTCTTTTAAAAAAAGCTTCAATTCGTTGTCTCATTGCTGCGTCTACGAAGGACTAACGCTATCCAATATAATACTAGTAGAATTTAATGTTGACTGTTATTATGCTTTAATTTCGAAAATAACTAAATATAATTTAAATACATACAAATTCAGTGTACACGTACATGTCAATAGAGCTTTTAAATAAGTTACACTACAAGTATGTGGTCTTACAATATTACTTGAGATTATCCTCCTGAACCCATGTTATTTTGAATTTTCCTTACAAAACTTTATTATAAAATATTGTTAAACAGAACATGAATAACTTTTCAATTATTAAGTACAATATGCACTTCAAAACTTTACATGTAATTCATTTTTAAGGGAATGGAGGGGAAATTATGATTGTGATTTTTATAGGACCTCTCGAAGTTACCTATTTATTGAGAATTTTTAATGAGAAAGAATGATCGAAAACAGTCCTCCACCTTATCACACCGCAGGCGAAAATACCCAAAAAAGAACATTCACCAAATATTTTTCACCTTTTCGAAGTCGGTAAAATGCATTCATTATATAAATTACATACCATATATTATATTTAGTATAAAAAGCGGATGTTATCAAAATTCGTGACCCACAGAGTGGTCCGAGGCTACTTAGCGGCAAGCGTGTCATAGCGAATGATGACTTGATTATACATTTCATACTAATGCATGTGTTCATTTTCTTCGTATATGACTTGCTATGTGATGGAATGGCAGGTAATGACTAGTTGTATGCGATGGCTTTGCTTCGGCGTCAAGGGTAGACAATATATGAACAAATCAAAATGCCGCAGAAGTTTGTGGAGAAAATGAAGTTATTCTCTAACTCTCCTATTCAATGCTTAAAAAGTGGTAACTTTTGTGTTCAAATTTTCTTTTGCTTTTGTTACTGATTAAACTGTACTGTGTATGTTCACAGGTGGTGCTTAGTTTTATAAGTATAATATGAAAAGCTACGTTATAATATATTTTCGCCCGTCACTTTGCTCCCGTGGAATATCAGCTAAAGTAGCCAATTTTATTCAACAACAGTGCCCTTATACATTATTGAAAGAATCTTTACAAGTTTTAAAGCTTTAAAGTTTAATACTTTGACATACATATTATCTACTACATACAAATAAAGCAAAAACAAAAAAATGTTACTTATTTATAGAGTTATAACATAACAATCTATACTAATATTATAAAGAGGTAAAGTTTGTGATCTTGTGAGTTTGTGAGTTTGTGGGTTTGTGAGTTTGTGAGTTTGTGACGTTGTAGGGGGTAATCTCTGGATCTACTGAACCGATTTTCAAAATTCTTTTACAAATAGAAAGCCACGTTCTTTCTGAGTGTCATAGGCTATATATTAACGCGAAGAATGAGAAGGCTTTTTCGTGGTAGTCGGATTTGCAAAGTAAGTCGGAGAAAAAACAGTCGAACGAAAAGGTTTCTTACGAACGCTGCCTTAACGGTGAGAGATATATGATTATGTTCTAGAGAAAAGTTGTAGAGCTTAATAATGCCTACAAAAAAGTCAGCGACAGCATATGTCTAACTTTTATATTTAAGTCACAAAAAGTAGTTTTTTATATTAAAAAAATAATTTAAATCGGTAGGTCATGTTTATTGGTCATATTATCAACAATTATGAATTCTTATCAAAATAAGTAAATTTATCGTCTAAAATGTTTAAAACAAAAGACTTTTCCCTTTTACTGCATATAATTTGGACAAATGGTTAAAGAGATAATACAACATATTCGTAGGTATGGACGAACCCGAGCGAGCTGTTTATCTGTTTTCCTGTTTGTACGGGCTAATCTCCGAATCTATAAGACCGATTTAAATAAAATTTTGCATGGTGGTACCTTATATCCCCGTGCAACATCTTAGATACTTTTCATCCCGGAAAATTAAAGAGTTCCCGTGGGATAGTTAAAAAACTAAAACAACTTATACAGCTTAGTACACAAAAACTACTAATTGGATTTTAATGAAACTTTACAATAATATAGTTCATACATGACTAAAACAAATCAGCTACTTTTCATCCCGGAAAATTAAAGAGTTTCCGTGGGATAGCCAAAAAACTATAGTAACTTATACAGCTTAGTACACAAAAACTACTGATTGGATTTTGATGAAACTTTACAATAATATATATAGTTCATACATCAGAATAAGAAATAGGTTACTTTTTATCCCGGAAAAATGTACTGTTCCCGTGGGATAGATGTTTTTGTTTATTTGTAACGTATTATGTACACAACATAAACCCCAAAACAATAGTTATTAAAAAAGTTGTCTGTTTGTCTGTTTGCCTGTATGTCTGTTTTTGCGTGAGCGTTTCACGCGAAAAGTAATGTACCGATTTTAACGAAATTTGGTGATAACTTATTACTCGAGTCAACATTTAGGATACCTTTTGTATGTGTTTATGTATGTATGTATGTATGTATGTATTCAGCCCTTTTTAACGTCCTACTGCTGGGCACGGGCCTCCCTTCAGTACGAGGGGGATCAGGCCATAGTCCACCACGCTGGCCAAGTGCAGGTTGGCGGACTTCACATGTATTTTGAAAACTTGCTGGGTTCTCTCAGGCATGCAGGTTTCCTCACGATGTTTTACTTCACCGTTAAGACAAGTGGTAATTGTGTTAGAAATGATTCGCACATGAAAATATCAGAGGTGCGAGACCCTGGATTTGAACTTGCTTCACTCGGTTTCCCAAGCGAGCGCGTTACCACTAGGATACCACTGCCTAGATACCTTTTACTTCAAGAAAATCTTTCTTTCCCATGGGAAAATACAATAACTGGTTTTATAGAGTCCTCCTTAGAAACCTTCCGCTGGCTAAGCCTTAAGACATACATACATTAAAACAATATACAAAAAAATTGTAGGTCTTGAAAAGTCCTACAGAAAAGTTCTGAATTGTATATGTCTATCTCCTAAGTTACACTCGCAATATTTATTCTTATCTATACGTATAATAAAACTAACTTAGTCAAATCGATGTGCGCGTTTCACGCAAAAAGTACTCAACCGATTTTAACTAAATTTTGTAGTGATAAAACTTAGTACTCGGGTCAACATTTAGGATACCTTTTACGACAGGCAAATTATTGATTACTCGAAAACACAATAACTGGTTCTATCGAATCGTCCTTAGAAATTTATATATTTTTTTTAACGTTGGGAAATGCATGTAAATTTATATGGCTAACGTTGGCTCAACCTTAAGAGATAGATCAAAACATTGTGCAAGAAAATTGTAAGTCCTAAAAAGGTCTATAGAAAAGTTCTACATAGTATATGTCTTTCTCCTAAGGTACACTCGCTATAACTATTTTCATTATTATATATTACTGTTTTATTATACGTTATTTATTCTATTCTATCTATACATATAATAAAACTGTAGAGGTTATTTCTCTTCTGTTTGTCTGTTTGTACGGGCTAATCTCCGAAACTATTGAACCGGTTTAAATTAAATTTTGTATGGTAGTACCTTATATCCCCGGTCAACATCTAAGATACTTTTCATTCCAGAAAATTAAAGAGTTTCCGTGGGATAGTTAAAAAACTATAGTAATTTATACAGCTTAGTACACAACAACTTACGAACCTAATTTCGTAAAATTTGGCATGCTGATACCTTATACTGCCGGTCAAATAACAGGTTACTTTTCATCCCGGAAAAATGAACGGTTCCCGTGGGATAGATCTGTTTGTGCTATTCTAGAGGTGAACCCGAGCGAAGCGAGGGTGAGCCGCTAGTTAATATATAAAACATGAAATTTAATTATTTATGTCATCAACATATAAAATCTTAGTTTGTTTTCATTTCATAAATCAAACATTTAAGTCATTTTCAGCAAATTGCACTTTATTTCTTAATTAAAAATCCAAGTCCAAGTTCAAGCATTTCATTATTATTAAAAGATATAAGTAATTATTATTTAATATTTTTCCAACACTGCTTCAATCATGGTGACTTCTGGAGCAATCCCTTCCTTTTTGGCGCTCTCTTTGAAGCAAGCCGCCACTTTGACGACGCGACTGCATTCGTCTTCCACGTCGTCGTGCACTTTCTCACAATTGTGGATTAAATTTACCATTTTTTCAGATAAAAGTTCACCTAAAATAGTAAGGGACAGTAAATATTATGCCTATTCATCATTTGAATATCTTTTATGTATAGGTATAAATATTACATATGTGCGTATGTATGTACATATGTACATAGTACATAAGTTTTAGATTTCTGACGTAAAAGACTTGAGAGATGTATTGATTGTGTGGTTTAATATAGTATAGTTTAATAATAGGCATCGAAGTCAATCATAGTGAATTTAATATCATCATCTCGTTATTATTTTTATGTGGCAAGATATTCCATAAAAAATATCAATTTAAAAATTATTTATATCGCGTATGTTTTTTTTATTTATAAGCTTATTCTGTTCATGTTTTTTTTACTGCAAATAGAATTTTTATATTTATGTAAGATTTTTTTCTTTAATATTAAGTGTAACATGTATGTGTTTTACGTGATATAAAGAAGTTTCATGGTTTCTATGAAACTCTTATGGTTTTCCAAGCTCACCATTAGGAAAACTCTTAACGTAGTCGTGCATATTGACATGATGCATCCTGGCATCGTCGTGCATGAGGGCAAATTTGTTAGACATGCAGATGAGGGCACAGCCAAGCTCCCTGTGTACCACCTCGAAGTCCTCGCTCCAGAAATGCTGGAACTGCTCTAGGACCTCCGGTGACAATCCTGACTACATATTTAAAAATATTTTTACACAATTAATAAATCAATCAATCAGCCTATCGCCGTACACTGCTGAACAAAGGCCCCTCCCAATGAGCGCCAAATTGAATATTTTCTTGAAGTTTATTCATCTATTCCTAAGGTAAAGTCATTTATAGTCAATAATGAATTTAATCGAAATATATACGAGTACATATATACATAATTACATACTAATATAACTAAGTAGAATTATAAGTTAGACTTTATTTATTTATCTGATGCAAGTAAAAAATATATTCTTATAAAGATATATGTAATTATATTTTAACGATCAAACGAGGATGGAAACGCAGAGAGTAATAGTTATTGTCTGATACTACATTGCGGGATAGAGAGCTGTTCAATCATCCGTACGTAGGGAATGCTCATATGAAAACAGCAAAGAAAACAATGTAAAATTTCTTCCCTAATTCATTGCTTTACAATCAGTCAGTAAATTTAATAACTAAACATATCAATTGAATCCAGACCCAAAACATAATTTCTATACATTTTTATATTTATGTATCAGTTTTATGATCATTTCTAAAACCCTGGCTCTCTCCTTACAACGAAGGTATAAACTAATGTTGACTTACTTCTTCTCTGCACTCTTCCAAGGCCTTTCCGAAATGCGCAGTAACATGGCTCATGACCTCTGCCGTACTCTTGACCTTTGGCACGACAGCAAGTACCGCCAAAAATACAACCAAATACCAAGAAAATGCCATTTTAACTGCGACTGTAGAAGACACAATGGATGGAACGATGAAGTCACCACGTTATATGTAAGAAATATTTTTTTAATTCTCGTAGTATATGTAATTTTCTTACATTTTCATTAAATTTATTGTACTTTATCACGACGGAGGAAGAACTTGAGTTTTTCGCTTCATGTAATTCTGGCGTACACGTTACTTGCCCCTCGTAATTGTAAGTAATTTGCTAATAGCAAGTCATACTGTGGGCTGAGCTCGAGGTCAATCATATTCTAAGTATATGTTAACGTAAAGTAGCCGTCTGGTCCCGTGCCAGCGTACTTAACTAGAGATGTGAGTCAAATTTCAAGACGGTTAATACTTAGTATATTCATTTTGATCTAAGAAACTAAGATTTTTTTAGATTCTTCAACTGTCAAGTAGTTTAAAAAGGCGCAATAAATAAAAAATTAAAAGGCAACAGAGACGCCATAATTTTCACATAAATATTATGGCGATCCAATGGTTACGGGTGAAAAATACAACAAGATAATTTCTATCTTGGTAAGTAAGTAGATCCCGGCTGTTATTATCATAATCCAATTCTCTAAAGCTTGTACCATATATTTCTAAAACGCTCACTCGGCAAACTTCAAAAAGTTGAGTTTTTGTACACCAGCTCGAGAAATTTTCTGCAATAGTACCATTGCCATTCTGCCATTCTGATACATACTGCCATTTTAATATAGTAGATTAGTTAAAATATGGAGATATTTTAATGTGGAAAAGCACCGTTTAAAGCCGATGGTAGTGGTATATTAAATAAAATAGTTTATTGTTTCTAATGTCGATAATTTAAGTATCGACTATAAAAATTTAATTAAACTCCAAAGTTCGAAATCACATAAACTAAATTATAAATGAACAGCGACAGTTGTAAATTAGTGGCTGATAGAATATTCATGGCTTAAGTTTTTTCATCAAAATGTTGCATCATAAATTTTAAAATAGAACATTTTAACACAATCTGCCACTATAAATATATTGTATAACCAATGTAATTTAAACGTTATTAAATTACTATACATTGATTTTTATTGACGCTTGTCCTTGCCTCGTAAAACTACATTTAATAGGCCTGCTTCATAACTTGATTTTATTTAATTAATTTTTTCTACGTAGCAAAATGTCGGACACCGAAGAATTCTATCAATCTTGTTGACGTCTCGATGACATATTTATTAATATATTCCAATCAATTATAAATTGTAAAGTAATATAGACTAACACCTAGTAGTAACACTAATATAAATACACTTTTTCGTGAAAATCAAGTAAAAAACAATGGTTTCAAGTAAAATCCATGGGTTTCTAGTCACGTATCCCATCCTACAGACCATTAGGTTGGGAATCACTTTCCCATACAATGATACATGGTGGTCGGCAAATCGTCGATAGGGGACGCAAATGGTTTAATTTTTGTGCAAATGTGTACGTGATAAGGAGCTTAATATAATGTTAAAGAAAGGTCTGTTTTATATGTACTTGTATATTAAGCCCTTAGAAATATTCAATACTATTCCTAGCATAAGCATGTAACTCCATTCGCATGTTACGAGAAATATAACAATAATATTATTAATAATTATTAATATATTGTTATAAATAATTCTTTATTTCCAAATATATTATAATAATTAATTATTTCGACTCAAATTTTCTATCATCGAATAAAATCTCATTAAAATTGAATAAATCGTTCCAGAGATTAGCGTGTACGAATCAACAGAAAAATATTTTTTGGATAAATACAAGTATAATGAGGTACCTACATAACTTTTAATAAATTAAATGAGGTAGTTTTACGTAATTATCCATTATGTTGATGAATTTAGGAGAATTTGTGTGAGAATGGCGCATGTCTTTTTGTATCACGCCAGAATCGAACCTGTTTTATTAGGTAGTAGGTATCAAACAAAGCATTCGGAACTAATCTACCCTACCTTAGGGACGTATCTGTAATCTCATTAGTTGGATAATTTGCTCATATGAAAGGCTGAAATTGATAACATAATATCCTTGACGGATTGCTTTTGACGTAAAACTATTTCTTTCAAAAAGTTCCATCGTTTATCATCCAGGCAACGATTCGTCAAGCAGTAATGAGTCAGGCTCTGACAGCCACCTAGGGTCGGGAAAAATGATACAAGTTTTGACAGGTGAAACTTTTCATGAAAATATATGAGGTGTTTTTCTAAATTTTCAGAGTATAATAATTGTGACATTTCTTAGAAGAAGACTATACCTATAACGTGGAATTCTTAATTTTTGTTTAAAATTTCATGACATTTTGACACTTTTTGCAGTAAACATAATTTTAAAAATATAATTTTAGGCTAGACAAGATTACATATTAGTCTATAAATGGTATATAGTAAATTCTGATTGATTAGAATAGAAAGCCTTTATAAAATATTACTGATATTATCAACAAATTTCGACCATTCTATGTCGCTACGAGTCAAAACCTCTGTATTCTGCTTACAGATAAACAATAATAATAGATGTATCCAACACAGTCCCCACATAAACCTCTACACCTGAGCACCATTATCTGAAAAACAATAAAACCGAACGCGACAAACATACAATGACTCTATGTTTGGAAAAATATCAAAATTTACATATAAATAGATCGCGATTTTGTGGAAAATATTTATTTCTCCCCAGACTCCTACGTGATGTGAATAGAGGCGGTGCAGTTCCCGCTACAGAAGCAAGCTGAGATTGCTTGTAAAAAATCTAATGTACATATACGGAAAATATATTTTTGAATTAATAAGACTTCTATCAGTAAATAGGGATTGCATTAAATTTTATTATCAAATATTTCCTTAGACATTTGTATCTACACTGTATATTTGAAACGTATGCTTTCCCAATACCATTCGGTCGATTGAAAGCAAAGTTTTTTAAGTTATTCTGTACACATCCAGGATCCAGGACCATTTATAATTACGTTAGTATACGTAAGTATGTTTTACGTAAGTATGTTGTATCGTAGTAGTACGTAAATATGTTTTACGTAAGTATGTTGTATCGTAGTATTACGTAAGTATGTTTACGCTTCAATTTGTATGAAATTTGGGCGACTTACTAGACTTTTTTAGCTCGTAAGGTTTTAATATATGATAAAAAATGCACTTGTGTAAAGCAACACGAAAATGAGTATATAATAAATAACGTAAATAGTATGTGACGTTCAAAATATAGAGATTCTTAGTACTTTTAATGATTTCCCCAAAGTAGCTGCATTCATCTATCAACCTGTCAGCGAGCTCTGCATTGTGAGCGGAGCGGGGAAGCCCCGAAATTCATATTGAGTAGGTAAAAATGTAAATTGGCTTGAATTATTGTTGCGACACTTTTAAGAAAAATATATACTCTATTTTATACAAATAACATTGTATTTCTTCTACTGGATACCATTTATGTTATTAAAGATAATGTAAACCAAATATGGTAAAAACGAATAATTCATAGGGACTAAAATTTTCGTCTAAGTATACTTGCAACTTTATTATAAAAATACATACGTTTAAATAAATCAAAAATAAAACAAATTTCAGAAAAAATCGTTAACAAATCTATTTATACTATAACGCCATCTATTAACATTTATATGAAAAATATTTTTTCCATAAAACACCCCAATGGACACACAACTTCTCTTACCTGGCGATAGTATGTAGATGTGCACTCGTGGCAAGCTTCACGAGAGGCCGGTGAGGAGGTCGGCTCGGCCGAGTCGGTGGACTGTAAGTATACTCAGAGGGGTCACCGTCGCTGGCGCCCGTCAACCACGACCAGTGTTCCGCCATTTGTTCACTTTTTTAAAATTATAAGTCAATTTTGAACTATTTTTGTTTCATATTTTATGTGTGAATTTGAAAGTCAGTATTTTGTGAGCATTATCTCGCTAAGAAGATATCAAGTTATATTATCTAAAACGACCAAATTAAATACGAGTTGTACAAAACAGAAGCAAATCTAGCAAATTGTAATTAAATTAATTTTAATTGAGTAGAAGATTATTAACTATCCACCTTTTATCTACTTAATATAATAAAAAGGGAAAACGACTGATATGATTTTTTATGCAGGGAGTATTGTATGGTCCGGAGAGCGATACATACAAATTTTTATAACAGTGTATCGTGTAGTTCGGCAGTATTATACAATATTGATAAAAGTCACTTATATATGAAATAAAATATCAATTATTTAAGCTATATGCTATGCACTAAGGGTAAAGTCCCGTAACAAACTAGTATTCAATACATCCCACGCTAATCATCGAGGGCCCTTTGGAAAATAACATTATTCCCCTTTACTATTTTGATTCAACATCGATTATCGTGCATCTCACCGCGTTACGAATTGAAGAAAGAGAAGGAATAAGTTTTTCATTCATGGGGCTGATTTAACGGTAATAAATCTTAAGCCCCTTATAGATATAACTTTTACCCCTGACTTTGTTGGCATGAAAATTCTACTTGTACTGTTTTTTATAATAACATATTATTAGATAAATTATTCGCCTTACGTTATATTTTTTTTTTCATTGTAACTTCATCAATCTTTTTTCTTTCACTTCTAAATAAAAAAATCAGGTTTTTTTACTGACTCATGATAACAAAAAAAACATAACAAGAAATTTACAGTCTAAAACTTGAAATGAAAATAGATTGTAATTCTATAATTGGAATATAACCACATATCTACATAACTACCCGTACGTAGAAACAAACAAAGCATCAAATCTCTATACGTATTAGTGGATTTACAGTGTATCTCATGGGGTGCTTATTGCACCACATGCTGCTTGCTTACAATGGAGAGGGATTTAAGGGTTGATGATCTTTGATTACTGCAGAATAACTATATTATATAACATAGCTATCTATATGTATCTTAGTTATGTGTATACAAATATGTCATTGTGTGTAAATTTTAATTATACACCTGCCTCT